AGTGCCTGTACAACAGTCAACACATTTTTACTGTATTTATCCTTGCACATCTTTATGAAGTCAGGAGATGTTCCTGTGATTCAGCCAAATGGAAATGTGAGGCACAGACACATTGTGAGGGGCTTTTCCTCCTGTGTGTCTGCGATGACACTTGGGACAGGAAGCTTCAGATGAAATCAAGTTTTCTCCTTAGCTTCCAAGAGCAAAGCTTTGCTGCAGGACTTGTGGAGGGTCAGTCAGCACTTTTTTTTAGTTCTTGGAGGGTAGTAAGTTGTCCCTACTGCTTTTAGATCTGAAGATATTCCCCTGTCACTGCTTCCATTATTTGACTTTCTCCCTGCCTCCTGGAATTGAATTTCTGCTCTGCTGCTGTGTAGCTGTTGGTGTTACAGCGTATGGCACTGAGATGAATTCTTTGCCCATATAAGTAAGCATCTGATTTGGGTAAAATTTTTCTTTATGCTGAGATGGAACAGCTTTTATTGGAAAAATATTAATTAACTGAAGCCAAGATGAAAAAAATAATGTTTTGGAAAAGGATTTGTATCAAGAAGCAGAGGTACTTGCACTTTGATTGCACACATCTTGGAAAGTGCACTAATCTCTAGAATATTTTTGTTTTTGTTATTTTCATGAAAAACCTCAAAAGGTCTTGATTTCATTCGAAGAACATCTCTGAAATCATGAAAAGCTTTGCAGGATGGGCAGATAAATGTTTCCACCCAGATCTGCTGACAGTTTTTCTAGTATTACTTTGTTGCATTCTCATGACAGTGACAGGATAAATTAGATTTTTAAAAATTTTATTTCCCATCTGGAATAATAAATGGTTTAATCATTTAAAAAAAATGGTCCAAATTACCAAAACTTGTAGCAGGTGTCATATCAGAACTGTACGATTCTAGCAAAACAGTCTACAGTTATTACACTCCTCTGACACAGAAAAAATAGTCATCTTGTTATTTTACTCAAGCTACCAGATTAAATATTTGAAATCATGGTAATTTTGGTATTGTTCTAGGCTGGACTGAATAATGAATATTAAAATGGAATAGTCAGGATTTGAGAAATAAAGTTTTACGAGTACAGGTTGCTCTTTATTTGGAACAGTTGAAAACAATATTTACATTAAGCCATGAAAACACCAAATAGATTTGCAGTTTGCAAGAGTAAAAAAAAATCTTCACAAGGTCTAGTCCTCTGGACAAAGGCCTGAATGAAGAGTTTAGTTTCATTGAATTAGTTGCTGCTTTTGTATTTTTTCCCCTTAAGTAGAACGTTTGTTCTATTTCAGAGGCCAATACTTAACGTGGAAGCTTCACGTGGAAAATCCTGGTGGATTTTCTAGGATTTTGAGTAGGTTCCAATTTAATATGATGTTTTGGAATATTTAAAAAAAATGATTTTATTTTAGATTGACTTTATACCAAAGAGATTGCTAATTGCTATGCTTCTTTAGATGAAGATTTATATTTCTTTCTAAAATATACATCACTGCATTTTAATGAAACAAAAAGTTACTTGTTATGTGCTGGTAAGGGTAGAGGGATGGTAAGAGATTATTTAGAAGAGATTATTGAGACACAGTGCTCCTAGAGTTTTTAACTGTAACTATCAAACAATAGTGGTAAATATCAAAATTTAAATGGAGGCTTGTACCATTTTCAAACATTGGAAGGTCTGAAAATGTAGCTGGGAATGTTCCTTATTGCATCTGTGATCCTGAAAAAAAGCCTTTGGTTAAATACAGAGAATATCTTTTGTGGAGAGAGGGGAAACAAAGAAAACTGTTCAGAAAACATAGTAGGGGAGAAAATATGCACACATGCATGCAAAAAAAGAAGCTAAATCGTATCACCGTGCCACTGCTTTGTAAGCCTTGCATGTATTCCAGTATGTCCCTGCATGCCAGAAAGTCTTTGATGTCGCCCCCAATTGCTGAAGGCCTCCGAGTGCCAGCTCTCCAGCTGGGTGGCTAGCTCAAATGAGGACCTGCTCTGTTAGACTTTAGGTATATGAGCACAGGCTGGGGGGTTGGATAAGACGTGTTTTAGTTTGGTATAGAGGTTTGTGGTGCCCTTGGAGGTAGGTCTTGATTTCTCTACTTAAATTAAACATTACTACAGCAAGGTTCTAGGGAAAAAAATGCAAATAACAGCATTTATTCTTAGTCAACACCATTACAGATGTCTATGAAATGCCGAAGTGTGAATGTACCTACACTGTGGTTACGTTAGAGACAGATGTCTTCCAGTGCTGGCTTTACGTTTTTGCTTTCTTTGTTTGTTTTTCCAACATCTGACCAGGACTTGGACCTTTCACCATGCCTCTGTTTCTGGTGAAATATGCTAGCTGGTATAAAGCCGTCTTCCCTCTGAAACCTTAGACCTGCTCTCAATGTGTGACTGTGCAACCTGAAATTCATTGTGTTAGCTCCTCAGGTAGAAAATAGTCTATCATTTTACTTAGACTACTCTAAAATAAAAGTTACTTACTTTCCATCGATATGTAATGTGTCTTATTGCTTTTAGGAATAATCTTAATGTATTTAATTGCCTAGAAAGCTACCCTTGACTGTAGTGAAATGTAAAAATATCTCCCCTCTCTGGCAGCTGCTTGGCCCTCTTCAGAAGGAAATGCCTTTCACTGAACCTCCTGTTCCATATTGATCTATACATTAATGCATGCTTGATACAAGCATGTAAACAGGCTAAAATGATAGGTGCCACCTGTGACTGGATGAAACACAGTGGTATCCAACCACATAGCGTCGATAGCGGGGATATAAGGTATCTTGTTTCCCAGGTGCTTCTTAGACATCCTTTTAGACATAGTAGTAGATCGTGGAGCCGTTTGAAGCGGTCCAGGTACTACTGTGGCAGGTCGTTTGCTTGTGAAACGCCTTTCTGTGGATTCTTCTAGGCAGCTACAGTATTGATTTGTATAGCAGCTTATTTCATTCCTATTAAAGTTGGGAGGCAGGAACACACCTAAACTCTTGAAATCTGACTTAAAACACTGCTGCCCAGTAAACAAGGGATGTGCTATGTAAAAGATTGCATGGAAGTTGTTACCACTTTTTTTTTTAAGAAACCCTAAGATGTATTTTGGTGACTCTTGTTTTCATTGGCAGAAGTGACTTTGCTTTATCTTACAGGCTTATAAGTATCATGAAAGATCTTTTACTTATATGGAAACAAATTTTGAATTGCAATATGTTGTTCTGTCAGTTAGTGATAACGTGACTCCTGCTGCTAAAGTCAACACCATTGTGGGTTTTCATGATGGCTGCTTCAAAATCTACAAAGGTTTAATGCAAGAAAGAGAGATAGAAATCTTTAAAAAGCATCAGGAAATGGGAGCGTTTTCAACAGTCTCATTCACATTACACTTCCTTGATGTTTTAATATTGATTTATTATAATTATGACAAATAGCAAGGTATTAAGGTAAGCATTTAACATGATAGACAGAATATGGAACACGTTGCAGTGCAACAAAGGGGTCAGTGGTGCTGAAACTTTAATGCTTACTGTAACTGTGCACTTTAAAATACTGTATTTTGGTGTCTTTGTTTAAGCAAGCATTTCTGTCACTGGGATTTAGAAGGATATGAAAGATTTTTAAAATGGCATGTAGTCATCTTTACAGAAGTCCAGTAAGAGTTTTCAGTTGAGCTTCTTAACTCCCAGTTCCTTGTGTGTTCAGCTTGTGCATCTACAATGTCCTGCAGCTGTTCAAAATGTGGAGCTTTCTCTGTTCCCTTGTCACATTTGCTGCCAGACACGACCCTGGATACGCAAACAGTATGTGCCCCACAGCAGATGAAAAGCAACACCTGCATTCACCAAATGCTGCTGGATAGGAACATACCACCACAGAAACTCAGAGAGGGTGCTCTGTAAATTCCACACATCTTCTGAAGACTTTTTCAACTCCATAAATGATCAAATAGGGTGTTCTTTTTGCATTCCTTTTCCATGAGCATTCCTGACCCCACGATTTCTCGGCATTGGGTGTTCAGAGAATCATTCAAAGGTTTGAGAAATTCCTACTAATTTGGCTTTTCAGGCACATTTCCACTCAGTTTCTGGCTCCAGCTGGAGAAAGCAGCCCCACTATATGCATATTTACATAAACCCATTGCAGCTAAATAAAGCAGATCTGCTTTGTTTTGAATGGCACAGCATATCACACCATCAACCCAAGCAGTTAGAGATCCCCCAAAACATGTCTTTAAAAGCATGAATGAACATTTTTGTGTTTTATTTACTTATTTAGAAAAGGGTTAAATGCAGGGTTTCTTTGGCTGGTCTTCTGGATCCTCTGTCTGCTGAAATCACAAGGACTAGAAACTTAGTTTAATTGCTGTGATCGAAACTGAGATTGAATCTCGCAATCAAGTAGCTGAGACTTCAAGAAAGATGTACATGACAAATTATGAAAACAGGTAACACACAGGTTCATTAAAATGTTGAATTTTTAAATTCAGAAAATCTCCAATAAACATAGTTGATGGGGTTGGTTTGAGGGCTTTTGTTTTTTTTTGTAGTTAGCTAAAGAGAAACACTTCTTGTGTTTTTCTTGCTCTGGGCTGAATAAAAAAAAAATCTGCATTTCATTCAAAACTTGCCTTAGAAGGGCTTTGACTGTGAATCAGATGAGTTTTTCTTTAGCTTGTAGTCAATTTTACTGAAGTTCCAGCGTAAGCATTTGGGGATGGATATTTCTCGATATGAGAGTTTCAGATTTACACCGTGCAGTGGCACAGTGATCTTTCTGAACCATCTTTCTGTGGTTATGGTTTGCTGTTCTGTATGAGAGATGTATTTAGTGAAGCAATCTTCCTCTGACCTGAAGTGCTGACTGTGCTACACTTGCCCCTCTGTTGCTCCCTTTTTTTTTTTTTTTTCCTCCTTTTTCTTCCCCCTTTTATTGCTTTATTCTTTCCCTGCCCTCTCTTGAGGGAGAAGCTCCTTCCTGCACAACCCCAGCTCCCACTCAGAGGGACACTGACCGCTTCCTCTTTCTGGTGGCATATTCCCCTCCTACAAAGTTGGATAAGGAATGACTCAGGCGTGTGTCCAAGGTATCAGAGTTGCTGCTGCTACTGCCCATTTTGAGCCACGGACACAGGCACCTGAGCATGGCTCTGCGAATATAGTTGTCAAAGCAATAGTATATGAAAGGGTTGGCACAGCTGTTGGCAAACGCAAAAGGGCTGCTCACCTTCAGGCCCAGCTGGGCAACCAGGTCAGGAAAACAGTCAGGCGGCTTCAGGAGGCCCAAAACGATGGCCATAAGCTTGAAAAGGTTGAAGGGGACCCAGGAGACGACAAAAGCGGCCACTACAATGAAGACTATCTTGATGGACTTCCTCAGTTTCTTATCATGTTTCCCAGACTTCTGATAATGCACACACAGTTTCCTGGTGATGGAGCAGTAAAAGGTTAAGATACTCAGCAGCGGGAAAAAGAAGGCCAGGATTAAAATCATGAGTGATGCCATCTGCTTTGCCTCTGTCATGGCTTTGTCTGTGCAGTACGTCTTTCCGTAGTGCTCCCTCAGTTCCCTCGACAAGAGAGTTGGCACCCCCAAGCAGCACGATAAGAGCCAGACGCCCATGCAGAGCCCACTGGCGTAGGATCTTGTTCTCACCCTTCTGGCTGTAGAGGGATACATGATAGCAAGGTACCGGTCTGCACTCATGCAGGTGAGGAGGAGGATGCTGCAGTACATGTTAACTGAGATGACATAGGAACTGGCTTTGCAGAGGAAAGAGCCTACCCTCCAGCTCTCATCTGACACCTCCTTGTCCACCCAGAATGGCAGCGTGATGAGGAAGATGAAGTCGGAAGCGGCGAGGTTGATGATGAAGACATCAATCAGCCTCTGGATTCGTCGCTTGAAGACCAAGGCTACTATTAAGATGGAGTTGCCGATGATGCCAACCAGGAACACGGTGGTGTACAGAACAGGGAGGAAAGTAGACATCTGATCCAAATGTTGATGCTGGCAGTTGTCCTCATAGTAGTCATAGCTGAAGGTAACTGGAGTCACGGGAGAAACCTGAGTGCGCTCCATTTGTGGCCAAGCCGTCCTCATCCCTGCTCTGAGCGCGCCGAGTTCCCCCCACCCTTCCCCTCAACGTCAGCTTTAAAAACATGTGAGAAGCGAGGGAGGGGAAGGAGGAGAAAAGTGGTTTTGGGGGATAACGTATGTACTCGTAGCCAATCGTGCAGGAAGCAGTGAAGTGACGAGAGTCTCTGATTAGTCGAAGCCCTATCTTCAGAATAAGCAGTTGGTTTTTTTTTTTTTAATCAGATTTAATTTTATTGATTTTTGTCTTTATTTTAACCATATAAGCAAACCAGGTTTAGGAGTTATTAGTGCAGGGGAGGGAAGGTATTTTTCAAAATTATTTTTTCTTGAAAGGTATTTCTGGTGCAAAGGTTTGAGATTGTATGAGCTCAGAAGTTAAAGAACAGTGAATTCAGGTGTCGTGCTCTTCTTCTTTCGCTTTAGGGGAAAAGCTCAGGTTTTCTGAGGCTTGGCGCTTTATATTCGTGCTCTCTTTGTTCAGTTATGACTGCTGATTTCTGTGGACAGTATTTCTCCTGTACGAACGTGTTTAGGGAAAAGTGTTTAAAACTCTCTGCTCTGCTCTGCTCTTAGTTCTTCTCTATCAACCCCAGGCTCCCACAGCTCTGCCAGTGCCCCCACTCCTGCTCTTCAGCCCAGGGTTCCTCACATTCGGCTTTTCTAATGCATTTCAGACTTAGAGCACAGCTTAGCAGTATGTCGTGTTTTCTTCTGCAGTCTGAAACCTAACTTCCTAACCTAACCATCTTCCTTATCAGGCGCACTCCTGGTTTCCAGATTGGTGGTTTCTTCCTTCTCCTTTTGGGCACACATGGCCCCGAGTCGGTGACCTGGGCCATTCGTCTTAAGAGTTTCCTTCATCTCTTATTAGTAGTTATCCTGCTAATAGCTGAGGGTTAGCCTACAGGTAACCCTTTCAGCAATGCATAAATCAAATGAAAAATCTCTGTTTTTTAAACTGCTGGATTTATTGCAGCTTTTTCAGTGCATGCTAATTTGAAATGACTTCTACTACCAATCTTCATCATCCTTCCTCTCTTCTGCAGATCTTTTCCTACCCCTCCCTCCCATCTGCACGTTTACAGGTTAGATGTGTTTTCAGGATACTCAAAGCTTTGAGCAAATTGATTATTGATACATTCTCTAGCTTCAAAAAGATCACATCCGTAGATGTCTCCACAGGCAAAGAGCAACTCCAGTTTGCATGCACAGCAAATTAATCCCATCCATTACTCTGGGAGTCACTCTGCTTATACCTTGGTTATCTGTTCCTGTCTTCCAGGTACTTGGTAGACCTTCAGCTTTCAGCCTTCCTTTCTGTAGGGCATTAGTGGTCTCTAGCTGGTTGCTTTGCATGAAACTTTTAAATTTGTAATTATCTCAGTGTTATCCACCTATCAAAAAGTCTTTTTGAAAAAAAAAGATCAAGGTGTATAAAAACATAGAGCATTAGATAAACCCATTTGTATTATGCAGATGTATGTGTGAACCTGTAAGGAAGCATAAGCTAGAAATCGTCTTCTAGCTATCTTTGCTGAGCATCTAAAGATTATGGTTACACTGTTTTTCAAGTAAGTATTGTATAAAAATGTGCAACTATCTGACAGTTTAAATCATGTTTAATGGTTTAAGTGCTAAGGCAAGTTTGGTTTCATCTTTGCTTATATCTGCTTCAGGGAACGCATTTTTTTTTTTTCTCTTCCCACTTGGAAACCATACGGTGGGGACATTCCCTTCCCATCATTAGAGGATAAGCTGAATCCTACAATCTGCAGTCTAAAAGTTTGAGCTCTTCTGCAAACATGTGCATACATGTTACTCTGCTCTAAGACCCTGGCATCTTATATGCGATCACAAACTTTATAAATCAGGTACTTCTGCACAGATATTCTGGAAAGCTCAGACCATAATGTGCTAAAATCCAAGAAATATCATGAGGCAAGTTGTCACTAGGAGGACACCCTCCATCCTCTCTTCACTGCCCTTTCTGCATCCCTTTCCTCCTCTTCCGAACTGTGGACAGCAGTAGACAAAATTCTCTGCTGGAGCAACAGCCTCTGCCTTGGCTTCAGATATGTAGGATAAATATGATATCCATCTTGTGCAACCCTTGCCACAGCTTTGTTGAGGCAGTCTGGAAATAGCAACAGCCCATGGGTGCTGAGTAGTTTTGAACCAGGCTGTGATCCTAAGACTTTTTTGAACCATGTGCTCATTGTAGATGCTGCCCTTTGCATTCAGCCAGTTCTGCTTCAGAACAGCCTGTTTCTCTGATGGTCCTTCTTTCAGAGGTGCCCTTATGAAGTGTACTACTTCAGCGTTTCTACCATTCCCAATAGGAAATACTGAGGAGTTGTACCCCTGGGAAACTGCTAGGTGTCACAGTTATGGATTAAAATACAATCGTAAATTCCACAAGCTTCAGCTGCTTTTCAGATAGCAGCAAGAGAAGACATTTCTTAGCACTGGTGCCTGATTCTGTAAAGCTGGTGTGTGATACCTCTATGATGGAAGCCTTTTGATTTAATGACAAAATCAGTACAAGAGATCTGCTCAGGAAGTATGCTGGGTTGTTGATTGAATTTGTTAAGTCCTGCCCTCCGCCGCCAAAGCACACACACAAATTTCTGAAGTTGAACAATTCTGGTAGTAAATTACCTTTTTTGTTCCTTTCTATATGTGTGTGTATATATATATATTCTCTTTCTTACTGTTGTGCTAGATGCCGTCTTATTCTAATGTGTACATGTGCTTTTATATAAGCACCGGTAGTTATATGAAATGAAATATGTATCAGCGAGTTATTAATGATGATAAATGCCGAGAAGGCACAGAGGTTCATTTGGTCTGCAAAAGAAAGTGTAGTAGTTTCTAAATGATTGTGCTTCAAACCCTTTCTGTAAGGAATAGAGATTTGCGGACCTAATAAAGAGAAATCAAATTGGCCAGAACTCAGCCCCAGGGCGTTGCAGCCTCGGTAAAAGTAAGTGCAGAGGCAACCAGAGGAATGCTGAGCACCAGCGGTTTCAGCCTGGAGTAGAGAGGGAAGAGCACAACCTATTCAAGTAAGATTTGGGGTGCTGAGATAGTACATGGTGATAGGGTGCAATAGTTTCATACCTGGAAGATGAGTGGGTGTCACTAGACTGAATCTGTACTACTCATCTGGCTAGCTGTCACGGATTTGGAAAAAGGGGTTCTGGAAGGCCTTCTTTCTGTTTTTTTTTTAAAATAACTAACTAATGGGGAGAATGCCCTCTGTCTAGTGTGTTCTGTGCTGCAGGTATAAAAATACAGAAGACAGAAGTAAAACAGGCAGACTGTAGAAAAAGTTTGAAGAATATTCTATGCAATATTCAATGGATTGTGCCTGAAATCCCAAAATTAAAACTGCCTTTTTTAATTATTAGAGAAAAAAAAAAAAACAGTGGGGAAAAGTAGTATCTTTCAATAAGTTAAATGGTATCATTGGAAGACTTTTCAGTGCCTTTTGAAGTCAGAAGAATTCAAGAAGTGAATGAAATACTTGAAAAAGGCTTCTACATTTCTCTTTCTTTATCAATTTAATTTAATATTGCCTCATCCTACAATGTTTGTTTTATTTATTTCTGTAAAATGTTTGAGCTAAAAAAAAAAACACCAATTTACATGATTTTTTTCTGTTGTTTGGGAAATTGTTGCTAAACTTCTTATCAGTGCGTGAGAACTTCTGTTTAGTGATATTAGCTAATCTTACACCTGATCCAGGCCTGCTACCTAATAAATTTTAGTTCTACAAAAAGCAGGAGCAATTTTAAGCTATAGTCATCAGTGTTACTCACTTTATGCTTTCAAGTACAAACTACCAAAAGACTTTTACTGTGAAAGCCTTAAATAATCCTGTTGTGTAGCTAAACCATTCAGCCAGATGTTCTTTTGAAGCACATTTGGAGAAGGTGGGAAGAGAAAATGAAAAAAAAATTACTCTGTACACACGCTTGTTTATAACATTTTAATTGGGCTACCTTTATTTTGCAGAGAGATTTTTTTTCAGAAAGAAGGTGTTTTAAAATTAAATAAATGAAATAAAAGTGTATCTATCTTCCCCTGTGGCTGTTTTGAGCTTCTATACACATCATACTGACCACGATGGGTAGTGAATAGGAAGATACTATAGTCTCATGCAGTGATCTAAGTAGCAATAGCTGTAAAATTTTCCAGAATTGATTCTCATTTCCCCTTAGATGAGAATTTTTAAAGAAAAACCTTACAGACTTGCCAGCGGTAGATAATTTACTGCTATTTATAATTAATGGTTCCACTTCTTGTTCTCATGGTCTAAAATATAGTTGTGTTTTTCTTCTTTTTTTTTTTCTCCCCTCTTCTTTTAGTGTTTCTGACTTGAACACCAGATAGTTTTGCCAGGTAAACTGAAGAAACCGTTACTGAGTTTTTGCTCCCTTTTGCCATCACTTAGACAGCAGTCTCTTCAATAAACTATAGACTGACCTTCAGCGATATTCCACTGAAAATTATCTTCTAAATGCTCAGTAATTTCCATGTGTCTTCTCAAACTTCACTTTATCAATGTGCGTTTGAGCAACAACTGGCAATTCAAGAAGTGACATAACTTCTTTCTTCCTTGATTCCTCTGTTCATAGAGCTGAGATTCCCAGCGCACATTTTGGTTACAGCACCCTACTGGCAGCTGGATACCCATCCTGGTGCCTTTGTCCTTGGCTTTTGGTGCTTCCTGGGATAAAGTCCTCCATCGTGCAAGTAGTACTACCACGCATTGCTCCTAAATGAATGACCTCGTAAGTGACCCTATTGAAATGCATGTTTATTTGTTTCCCACCTTCCCAGCGATCAGGTCACCCTGTACCAGTGCCCTGTCCATTTAATTATTTACCCTTCCCATGGGCCTTGTGTCATCGGTGGAGGTTATCAGTGATGGTGCTACGCTTTCTTCCAGGCCCTCCACAAAAGCATTTCATATTTTAATGTTTAGTATTTTAAGAGTCGACATAAACCCCAGTCAGAGCATTTCCTTGCTTGCAGTTACAGGTTGAGATTTTAGTTAGCCAGCTTTCATAAGGTATGGCATAGTGGGAGGCTTTTTATAATTATAAACAGCCTCCTGCACTAAGATAGAGACATCGCAGAGGGCTGTTTTTATCACTGCTGCCACTTTCACCACCCCAACTTAAAAAAGCCTTGGGAAAAAAAAAAAAGGCTTTCTGGCTGCTCTGGAAGGGGAGCTGGGTGGGATCGCTCCCCAGAAGTCCTCAAGAGACACAAAAAAACAGGGTGTGATTCAGTTTTCTGAACATTTGTTAGTTTGGGGAGGGTAAGATCAAATCTCAGCATGGCAATGGTCCCTGAGCAGTTGTTTTTAAAAACCCTCTGCTACTCGGAGAACTTTCTTCTTTAATTTTTTTTTTTTATTATTATTTTATTTTTATAAGAGGGGTGGGCGAGGAGGGCACGACCGTTCCCCAATGACCCCCGTCGCGGCAGCCGTTTTTCCGCGCGCCTGCGGCTGCGCCGGGAGGGGCCCCCCCCCA